TACTTGTAAACATATCAGCCTTGACTTTTAGTCAGGTAGTTCAGAAGCAGATTCTAGATATTTACAGTACCCTAATTTCTAACTTAACTGAGCTTTGTTTGTTGTGTCACAGCACTCTTTGTATTTTTTTTCTTATTATGTAATAGTTTCTGTATTCATAAAATATATTTAAAATAAAAGTCTTGCAAATATTTAAATTCCTGGATTTGTGTTTCTTATCTTTTTTTTTAACTATGCACATAATTTCATGCTAACAGTCTTACTTGCTGCTTTTCAATATAGATTGAAATTTGTGGCTGCTTTTCAAATTTGGATTGTTCTAATAAACACAGACTACAGCCATGATTCGACGTCCATTCTGGAATCTACTGTTTTTACACAAACGCAGGTTACTCTGTGCATCCCAACAGCCCTTTTGGCACCGTACTACCGAGCCAACACAAAGCTAAAACATCTTTAAACCCAGGTTTCTTTACTCTGTAAATTCCTTTTGTTTCATTCGGAAATATCATCCTGGTGTTTGTTTAAAATGAGCTTGGCACTGTTGTATCCAGACGATTAAAATAAGTCTCATTATTGGCTTCTATGCATGTTCTGCATCAAATTTTGGCTTCTCATCACTGACTTCAAAGTTAACTGCAAAAATGTCCAATCCACATTTTTGTTAACAATTTCTATTTTCCATTTTTTCCATTTAAGAAAAACTTTCTTCCATGCAATGATATCTCATGGTCAAAAAAATTATGTAAACCAACTAGTTTGGATGCAATTAATGATGAGTGAACTGAGCATTTAGATGATTACCTACCTGATTTTCTTATGCAATCAGGTAATTAGACATCTAAATTCTAGACTTTATATTGCCTGCTAATTCTTTCAGCTGACCTTGAATAAAAAATGTTGGATGAAAAACAGAGAACCTACATAAACCAAAAAGCAAGTCCTGGAGAGTTTCCAGGTAAATTAAGATGTTTTAATTCCTTTACTAGAAAAGCCTTAATAACTGACTGAATTTCACTTCCTAGGTATTCTTATTAAAATTAAAATTAGAATCAGATGAAGACTAATTATGCCTACCACCGCTCTTATTTAGATTACTGTCTCACGTGACTGAATACACCATGATTCTCAAGTGGTCAGCCACCTGCACTCTTAACAGTGTGGGTGCTTTTTTACGTTCTGCATCAAGCTGAATTTGTGTTTCTTACAGGACAAATTATAAAGGATATGAACTACCATTTTTGGCAGCATCCTCAGGAGAAAGATCGAGAGGTAAAATAGTTGTATTTTCAATGCCCAGTTCTACCTCTAAAGATGGGACTTGTGAGCCAGCAGACCCTGGTATATACAGTAACCGTAAACTGGCAGAGGTCCTCCACACACGTACTAGCAGACAGTCTTCTCATTTTCTATATATGTGGATGTGATGAGAAATCTGAAGGCTTATAAGCTGCCCGACCTGCTTTTTTTAAAGAAAAAATCAGAGGCTTGTGCATGTCACATTTTTCAAAGGTTAAAGGGAGACACCAAACTGGAATTTTTCAGAGGGTGTTGCTCAAGCCCTTCTTAGAAGTTAGTCTCCTTTGGAATGGCATAGGCAAATAGGGAGGGGCATACAGCCACCAATCAATTAAAAAATGAAGGTCAGTCCTTCCGTCTTTAATGTTTAGTGGTAACTATCTCTGAGGATTTCTTTTCAACCTGGATTCAATCTTTCCCTTCTGCTTTGAGCTCCCAGCTGCATTATTTCCACTCCTTTCGATGCTCCATTGGTGCAGTGAGTCACTCCGAACCATGCCAGATAGTTTAGTGCTACCACTGAAGCTTGTGCTGTGCTCTTCTTGTAGAATAATCCAGTACTTCAGGGTCCAAGTACTTCTCACTAGCGGTAAATTCTCTTAAAAGCTGCTAATGACAACATACAGTCCCTAAAACGCGACTGGGAACTGAGATGCTGCTCATTGTAGTTCCAAAACACCTATGTCAGATAAAAATGATTTTCTTTTGCACTCAAATCATCAGTATTATCACAAATTAATTATATTCTGCAATCTTTCAAATGCTATGACAATGTCATACACTTCATTACAGACTGACGATCATCTATTTCTTTATCCTTCAATCCTTTGGAACATTATATTTTATTCTGTTTGTGGCCACCTCCCTGTTCCTGCAATGACTATAGAGTCTGAAGTGTGATTTAATGCTTGTTAAGCCACTGAGGCTGGGACATGACTTGACTAAGCAATTTTTCGCTCCTTCTGAAGTAAAACATATGTTTAAAAAAGGCACAGTTCAATGCACAATATACTAATGTCATGGATTTGACCAGGAGCATGGTAAAGTCACACTGTGAACTGCTCTTTTAAGGAACCTTAACATAAAGGACAACAAGCTGGCTGAGAATCTGTGGTGGCTGCAAATAGCTCTGGTGCTTGGCAAATGCTCAGTTTTGGCTCCGGAAACCACTGATGCTCCAAGCTTCAGTCCGGAAATTTGGGATTGGGGTTGTTTTAACAATATTGCAACCACAACATCAATGTCTGAGCCACTAGCCATTATCTCATGTCACTTCTGCTACCCTAGTGTTGAGCTTTTCCATTGGAAAATGTTTCCATCCTTCAGTGTGTCTGCGCTAATAGTGCTTTAGCTGAGTAAGACACATGACTAGTTTCACCAGGGTGAAGGGACTTTACATGGATGTGGTCTTCATCCCTTGGAAAACCATATAGCAGTAGACTCAAATAAAATAGCATGACAGAGGGAACTTGAAGCTGGCATTGAAATCATAGCAATATTAAACTGTTGAGAGAGAAGTCAAGATGACTTTCTTCCCACTTACAAGTGCTGCCCAAACTATGAGTTTGCATGTGAAAAGGTTTGGAACTGAAATTTTCTACTGTAGATATTAATTTTCCTCTACTGTTTCCTTGTATTGTAAATATTTTAAGGGGACACAGTAGTGCACACACATATCTGTGATTACAGGAACATTTAGCTGCACATGCTGCTTGGCAAAGGAGTACCTGCTCAGTGCCTGCACAAACGGATCAGATTGCTGATGGCTGCTCCTGTTGTTTTTCTTTTTTATTCAGGGGTCTAGCATGAGAGCTAGACTGTGAATACTGAGCTATTATTGTAGTCCACAAATGTGGAGCTGATGGTATTGATTTTTTGAAAAGATGTTTGAAGCAGTAATAAAAATAAAAAATAAAGTGAAGGATGATGAGGCTTTACAAAGAGCCAATAAAATATCCACAAGAAAGTTAGTAAACTCTTGGGTCGACCTTGCCAGTGTCCTTTTCAGTCTGATTCCAATCTTGTCTTGTGCTTTTAGCAGCCGGCTGCATTTGTTTCCACCCCTCACAACGCCCCGCCGGCTCGGTGAGTCACTCGGAGCCATGGCACACGCTTTGAGACGTCCACGCTCCACAGGCACCCTAGGGAAGCAGAGGAAGAAATGTGCAGCACAGGACCGAAGCAAGTGACAAAGTCCTGCTCATCAGAAGGAACTTCTGAAGTCACTGGGAATTCACAGCATGAAGAAGCTGTGAAGTCTTTGGGAATTCACAGGATGCAGAAGCTGTGAAGCCACATCCCTCATCAGAGCTGGGATGGACCTCCCAAGCGCGCAGGCTGTCTGCAGTCTTTTCACACACTTTTGTGTTAATAGCATTTGATTTACCCCATGAACAGGTGAAAAAATTGCAAAGTCATTTTTACTAAAACTTTATTAGCTTACTTTTAGCAAACAAACACAAGGTATTTTTCGAGCATAGTGGTTTGAAATAGCAATTTCATTTTTGTTATAATATATTCCACACCTCTAACAAACATATAATCAGCCAGTATCTCTTAAAATCAAAAAGTAACTATCCAGAATGAAATGATCAATATGCAAGCTTTCCATAATGGAAGTCCCTTAAGAAAACTGGCCCTCAGTATCTACATATTTCTGATACCAGGAACTTAAAACATCTCTTTAGTTTAAAATGCCCTGTATGAGGGTTCCTATCTTCATTTTTAGATCTGAATGTTACTAAAATGTGCATAAGAAACAAAAGAAATTCCTGAGCTTTGGAATTCACCTGAAATATCGAAAAAATTAAAATCAATTGAAAAGATCTCTAGGAGCCCTAACATCCATTCTACTGCAACCTGTACTAATCGTCTTTGACAGTGATTTCTCTTGCTCTCAGGCAAATAAAAATCAGTGATTTAAATCTATTCAAATAACCTCCGGAGAAAGGATTTTTTCACTGGTGTAAACTTCATGGCTTTCTTCTTGCGCAAAGGTTTCATGGGTTGTTTTTTCAGTTGCCCCACCTTCTTGGGAGTTTGGAGCCCTTTGTTAAGGTCAACGTGCTCATTGCAGAAGTACTTGACGTTTGCTTCTGAGAGACGCAGGAGCATGGTCTCTGACAGGTCCATACATTGCGCGTGGACCCAGTGGCCATCCCCACTGGAACACAGGATCATTGCAGGCTTGTTGAGTTCTGTTGAATAGAAAGGGACCCAGGTGTTAATGTCAACATTGCAACGAGCAGAGCAGGTGATCCAGTAGCCCGTTTCTGATTCATCTTCTTCATCATCTTCATTGTAAGTGTCATCAACATCAGAGCTATTGGCTTCGGCACTAAAACAAAACTCTTCTGAATCTTCAAAGGGAGTGGAGTCTCCCGGGTCTTCAGTAGATGTCTGATTGCAAGTTTGGGCTGTCAGTTCTTCCTCCTCATCCTCTTCTGCTTCTCTGCATCTCAAAATGTAGAAGTAGTTTGCATCTGAGATCATCTGTTTGTTGTCCCCTGGAATGCCCAGCAATACAGACCCTTTGCCCATATCGCAGCCAAACCACATCCGGCAGTGTTTAATATCTGGTGTCCAGAGTGGACTCTCCCTTTCAACAATCTCTATCTTGTTATCTTCTAAAACTAGGGTGTTACAAACCAACCTTTTCTGGTTTTCAGACTGATAGCCCCCAACAAGGACAAACTCTGTATCACCAGTTTGAGTCACAACAGCACTCGACACAGATATCCCCCCTGGCAAGACAGTGCAAGTCACAGCTGGGCTGCCCAATGGGAGATCAACTTTTAGCTTGTATAAGCTGGGGGATCTGATATTATTTTGAAGCGAATGACCGCCCAAAATATAGATCGTATCATTTCTGGCAACCGAAACATGGAAAGAAAGTCCATCTTGAAGCTCTGGAAGTATGTATGATGTACAGCATCCAAACTCAAAGTCAACCAGAAACACAGATGGCGAACAGTCAACCACACTATTCCATTTTTCAGTGGTTCTTTGTCCAAGAGGAACATATGATCTACCTCCAAAAATAACACTCATGCTCTTACCTCGGCTTTGAACTACATTAATTGTATGGCCATATCTTGCTTCAGGGACATCACCAGCCAGATCTTTCTCAATGCATTTAAATGTGGATTTCTTGCTACTTTTGCTTACGAGACTCATTATGTAAATCTTATCAGAAAGATCATTGTTAGGGGTTTTCCCACCATGAATTATATACTGCTGATTATCAGACTCTGTGTCGCCTCTGTATGTGCAAATAGCAGGGTAGCGGAGAGGGGGAAGATAACAGGAGTCCTTGGAGAAGACTGCCGGTTTCATTTTGAGTTCATTCTGTTTTATGTCGAGGAGGAAGACACCAGTGGGACAGGATCTCTTTGGCCATCCTTTCTGCCCAAAAAAGTAAACATGCCCATCAAAATTCAGCAGGGAAAAGCCTGGCTGAAGCAAGGATGAGTTACTGACAGATGACACCATCTGCAAGGACATTACACCTGGTGGCTGGGTCATATTATGATCAATGTCTGCAAAAGAAACACATGAAACATCCTTTAAAACTACAAGAGAATTTAAACTGACAACAGACTGGCTGCGTTTTCTTGAGTAGCTTGTATCAAGTTGGCAGCTCAGTTCTCCTGTCTGTTAAATGGGAATATTGATACTTATCAAGCTTTGTAAGGCAGCCAGAGACTTAGAAAAAGAGTGTCTTCTACCACTTAACGTATAAACAAAGTGAGAATTGTTCTTCAGTTCTGGGGAATATTGTAAAAATTCAAGATTGTTGGACTTAAAAGAGAAAACCCTTTGTAAGGGTGACCTGCAGCATAGTAGGAAGGAAAGATAGATGCCCAGGAAAGAGGAAACTTGCAAAATGTTCCCAGAAACCATGCTTTTGTGAACGCCTTTTTCCTTCCCTTTTTTTTTTCTTTTTTCCCCATCTTTCCAAACAGGAGGGCAAGACGCACACGCACTGTGCGGTGCACGCAATGGCTGCTGCCAGCTTGCTGCTCCATGACAGCTCTGAGGAGGTGCTTCACAGCACTTATTTGGCTTGTTTTATTAAAAAAAAAAAAAAAAAAAAAAGTGAGAAAGAAGAAGAGGAAAGAAAA